ATCCAGTTACAGGTTTGAAGCAGAAAAACATGGCCAAAAGCTCTTCTTAAATGCAGTTCTCTTATAGCGGCGACGTTTTTTTTCCCCAATTTTTAATTAACAATTGTTATTTAAGTCTTATGTCAATAAAATATATCACAGTAAGCTTGAGATAAAAGATATCATACAGTCTGACACATCTGTTTCATTTTTGGATATCTTACTTGAAAAAAAGTGTATTGGTAATCTCACAAGTTCCAAGCTCTATGAAAAATGAAAAAAAAAAGTGACTAAGTTTTCCACCGTCTACTGTAATGTTTTTCATGATAAATCTGAGTTTAAATACGTGTAAATATTCCCTTATCTTGCTGTATAGAAAAAAAAATTAAATCGTACTTTTAGAGAAACTGACATTTTTCACTCCGTAAGCAATTTCTGTTTTAGTTAAACCCCTCCCCTCCCTCCCCCTTTTTCTTTTTTTCAAATATATTAGGTTCTATCAATTCTAACTTTGATTTCATGAAAAAAATGACGAGATTAAATAACAACTCCATCAGTTTTAATGAATTCCTGCACTAAACATTTACAAACTAACCAATTATTGTCCACCCAGTAAAATGAAATAAGACGTTCTCTGCAGTCTGAGAGTAACTAAAAGTGACACGTGTACATTAAACATAAAACAAACCCACCCAGATCAAACAGGATTGACACATTACGTGGTAGTTATGACCGCAGGTTATCCATTAACATGGAGCCAGTAATAACCAATAAAGAATAGATACCCGTGACGTGACAAACATGACCGCAGGCTTCAGTTTAACATGGACACCAATTTAAACTTCAGGACAATTAAAAGTTGACTTTGAACACTGAATTTTTTAATTAGTTTACAATTTTGTTTTCAAAAATAATCTAAAATCAATATTGTTATATCAATTGATTAATAAATGCTTTCAATTCGTATTTTTAATATAAAAATTATTATTATTTATAAGTATTTTTACCAAGCTACAACGCTGTAGATTTAAAAAAAAAAAATTATTATCATTACTTTCGAGTGTCGTCATGAATATACTGATACATGTACCCAGAGAGTTGTATTTTAATCAAAGACTATGTCTAACGAACGGTTAAATAACACCCGAAGTAAATTTGATATATTTGACAAGAGACAAAAATAATAACTTTTAAGTCTGATTTGACCAGAGCCAAAAACTAAATTATTTATAAATTCCTGAGCTAAAAACACAATATACCGGGACCTTAGTATACATGACACTGTTTCTCATCTACGGAAATATCTAATGAAAGTTCATATTCCTAATAGAAATCAAATATTCAAATGGATAAAATTACTCAGAAACCCTTCCCCCACCTCCTCATTCATTTGATAACAGAAAACGAAGTGTACAACTTCGTATAATGTGCAGTATTTATTCGTTGCCCAATTATACGTACAATATCGATCCCTCACAAGAGGGCGTAATTACGCTTCGCTACATAACATCTTGGTACAAGTTAACAACTTCAATTGGGATTTAGTAATGCTAAGTCCTTCATATACTATTCGACTATGGCAATCGGGTTTAATCTTTTCACTACCAATCCATCAAATTTAAGAACAAGCATTGTACTATGTACAATAAATACACATAAGAAGGAAAGATGTTCAAACAGAGGAAAAGTGATGATATATCAAATTCATCAAAAAACAGACTGACCGCAAACAGGCAAGCAAAAATAAAACTAACCCTCGAAAGATTTTAAATGCTGAACTTCCAAAGATACGGATAAGGATACATCAATTGGTACAAGAAAAATCAGTTGACGCAAGCGTCAAAGATATCAGGCCGCAAAAGCATTTTATTTTAGGAATGGTAATGTACACTGGAATACTGTGATATATATGAATTACGGCGTCGTACTTCATAACGGTATCATACAAACTGACACAATGAAGGAATATGACTTATGGTCTGAATACACAAAGCATTTTCATTCCTGTAATATTTTCGAGTTTATGTAAGAAAAATATTTCAATGTTGAATACTTAGTGTTGAATACTTAAAAATATTTGCAAATAAACAAAGACAAACAAAGATTTTCTGTTAATTATTTATTAACAAAGAACTTAAAAAATAACATGCAAGTAAAATACAAGAGAAAAATAAATCAATCAAAATGTTACAAAGAGGGTATATAATTGTCAAATAAAAAACACTGTCATAGTCCAACAGAAATTTCGAAGAATGTGAAAAATTTATCTGTCAGAAATGTACATAATAGTATACATTTTGCACTACTACATGTATGCAGCATTTGAAACTGTAATGTCAATATTACTTAAGTATCTTAAAAATAATAAAAAAAATCATTATCAACTATCATGCAGGAATATTTTAAGAGTAATTTAAGAAATATTAACTGTATGAATATTGATGAAAAATGTTATTTACTCAAAAAAAATTGAAAATTAATATGTTTGGAATTCTTGGCAGAAATATGACTAGATAAAATTAAAAAAGAAATGTACACACTAATGATAAAATCGCTATAATATTAGTAATGCAACATATCATGTATTTCTTCCATGTGAAATAAACATTTATAAATCCTTACAAGTTCTGCTATTTGTTTTAAAGAAAAAATGAATAAACTAAGCACAGGATGTTTGCTCAAAAATACTGTATCATTTTACATGATTATAAACAAAAAGTTATAAATGTTAATGACAAGTCTGGTAAATTTTGAAAATTAAAAAGTGACAATGTCAATAAGATTTGCTTAAAAGCATGGTTGTAAAAAAAAGTTATAAAAAAACCCCCCAGAAATTTACGTGTTTCTGTTGTAGTACTGAAATACAAAATTGTTCATTGGTGCTTTGGCAGAAATAAGACTAGATACATGTATACAGATTAATCACAGGAATAACAGTAAATAATAATTATATATAACCATAAAAAAAACTAGCTAACTTGAAGTGCCATACAGAAGAACTATACTACTATTAAAGTACATGCTAAACTGTTCGATATGCACTGCAGCATTACCCTTGGTTCATCACTTGACCACATCATATAGTTTTTAATGATATTACAGTAAATAATAGCTAACCAAACGCTAAATAATAGCTATCCAAACACAAAAACAAAAAAATTGCTAATTTGAAAAACCATACAAAAAATCTAAAGAACTATACAGAAAAATCGAACACTATTAACTACACAGTAAACTAATCAAATGCACCGCACCAATATTACCCTTGGGTCATACACTATGTATTGTGTCTACACCATTAAATTTTCAATGTTATAGAGAGTTTTGTTCTTTAATACTGCTTTCAAGGTGATGGGAAGTTTTGGTATGACTTTACTGATTAGGTCTTCCTTTGTTTGGATGGATAACTCTTCACCAATAATTTTCTCTACAGTGCTTTGGAAAAGGGTTAGTTTTTCATCTTTCACATTCTCTCCCTGGATTTGATAGAGGAAGTGAATATTGAAAGTCTTCATATTGTTATCACCGTGTGAAATGCACCCCAAAGACATAACACCTTCTCCCCTGCCATGCCGCGTTGAGTGATTTTAGTCGGAACAATATAATTGACATTGAGTTTATTTAATTAATCCGATAATTGATATCTATTTGTATTCTTCACTCTTTCATTAATTCTATTGTTAAAATATTACTTTGGTATCTTTATATTAATTGTCATGTGAGAATATTTGGTAGTTGGAGAGCGACAGCCAATCCGCTCGGACCACCGACTCCCGACCTTGTAGATTTTGTTAAGTTTTAGGAGTTTTAATAAATTTGTAAAACGGAAACCGACTTACGCAATTTCTCTTGGTCACAATTGGTGGAGAATCCGGGTATCAACTTTTTAGCTTGATACGCGATCCCGTAAGGTACCCCAGAGCTAGTTTCCCCCAAAATGGATTCGTACCAGTACTCGTTTGGACCAGCGTGGGATACACCATACCGTTCGAGATACTTTGTACATAATGAAAATCCTATTTGTAGAAGAGGCGGACTAACACATTCATGGTTTTGTTGTGCTGCCAGGATTTCCAAGTGCTTTAGATGTTGCAGGAATGGACATTTCGCGCGGATGTGTAGGACACAGAAAACTGACCGCAGAAGTGACGTTCTAAGTATTAAAGTTACAGGAAAGACAGACAGCTCAACACAAACAGAAAGAAAGAAATCCAACAGTAGAATTCAACGTGACAGAGAAAGGAGACGGAAATTTAACGAAAGGCGTTTGATCTTAGCAGAACTTCCCTTTTCAAAAATTAAGGAGTCGGACTTTAAAGAGGAGCTTTTTCTAAATCAAATTAAGGCTTTGCACTACAAAATGAATGTTCTACGTGAGGAGGCTGACCACCACACTGCGCGTGCGACATTATTCGAGAAACGCCATACCATGTTGTTAGAAGAACTTAAAGAACGCGACAATTTAATTTCTAAATTGGAAGAGGAAGTGGAGCGAATGTCCAACTTAATTCAAAACAAAGAAAAGGAACTACAAACAATAAAAACAAAGTTTCGCAAGACCGATAGACAATCTCCTAAACACACAAGTGATGTGACACGGTATTCAAGTGGCGGGCAGTTTAAGTTTGCTAGGTACAATGACCGTGTTAATCCATGTTCCAGGTCTTATGCAGAGGGGACAAGTACCAGGCCCCAAAGATGTGCGCAACCTTGGAACACGAGGACGTGTTCATTTGGAGGAAGAGGCAACTATCACCGTGTGAAATGCACCCCAAAGACATAACACCTTCTCCCCTGCCATGCCGCGTTGAGTGATTTTAGTCGGAACAATATAATTGACATTGAGTTTATTTAATTAATCCGATAATTGATATCTATTTGTATTCTTCACTCTTTCATTAATTCTATTGTTAAAATATTACTTTGGTATCTTTATATTAATTGTCATGTGAGAATATTTGGTAGTTGGAGAGCGACAGCCAATCCGCTCGGACCACCGACTCCCGACCTTGTAGATTTTGTTAAGTTTTAGGAGTTTTAATAAATTTGTAAAACGGAAACCGACTTACGCAATTTCTCTTGGTCACATTGTTTTCACTTTCTTCTCTGGAGCAAATGGGACATGTACCATTTTTCAACTTCTTTCTTCGACAGGCTGCAAAATATAACCAAAATAATTTTGTCAAAAAAAAGTTGAATGACATTTCAAGTGAAGAAGTAATAAACAATGAACAAAGATGACATGTACTACTTTTATAAGTAAGATGGCTAAATAAACTTACGTGGCATTTCACAGCACTTGTATACATCAGCGTCAGTGAAATCCGTGAGGATGATGGTTTTCTTCTTCCCATTTTCCGGCAGGTCTTCTTCGAAATCTGGGTCATCTTTCGCTGCTTTTTTGTCCTCTTCAATTATTGCGATATCTGCAGAGTCTCCAATCATCTACAAAAGCACAATAAGTATAAGAAAGCTCACTAAAATAACCATAATAATATTGCATTGGTACTTTAAAAGCAATGTGTAATTTATTTTACATAATATGAAGCAACTTATATGAATTCATTACCTCGCACGTTGATGCAGGACTTGTTGTAAGCTGCATTTTGTCGAAATACAGTTTGGGATACACTGCGGAAACTTTAACACAGTCCCCAGAGGCATACTGCGTTTCAGCGTTTTTCCCAAAGAGACAAACTTTCGCTGTGCTTTTAGTAGCAACGATCTTACGGCAAGAGTGCCATCTTGCCTATAACGACCTGGAGAAACCTATAGGAAGATAATAAAAACATTGCATTGTGTTTTACAATATAGAAAGACTTAATTTCACATTGTTAATTCTTGGAATTATTACTGACACTTCACATTACTTGAAAATCAAAGAAAAAAAATATTAAACAAAATAAATGTATATTTAATGGTGTGACTTTATGCTCCATTAAATTAATACATAGTATTACATGAAGAAATATACTTCTTATTAAAAACTAGCAATTTCAATATTTCAAATATTTTCATGCTAGTAAGTTATTACCATTATAATCTTTCCCTGGACGGTTGATTTTTCTGGGGATTTTAAAGCTCTCTCAAGATCAACCTCCATGCCACCCACTGGTCTCTCCTCTGGTAGGGGCGGTACACATTTCTCAATTTCAGGGTCCACCTCTACAGCACTTGTGTATGCAATGAGAGAGCCTGAAGTTGCCCAGAATAGATCTTTGTCTTTTTGAACAATATTGGTAAATTTAAAAGACATCCCTTCCTTGATTGTATGGAACTTTCCTCTTTGATAAATTCTTAAATGGTGATATGTCCTCCCTTGCAAACCAATGACGTTAAAAAATACCATTTCTTTATTTTGTGTTTTGTTGACGTACGACTGCAACTCTTTGGATTTCTTCACTATCTTTAGACTCTTGGTTACCAATTGTTGGTTACCTTCTGCCTACATGCAAAAAAAAAAAATTATGCATGCAATGCTTAAAAATAAAAACACTCTCTACAAAATCTACAACTAATTACCAAATACCAGATTATTTTGGAAGAGGTAAAATGAAACAGCAGAGATAGCTTATTGTTTTAATGAAGTTAAAAAAGTACTTATGTTCTTACAAATTTAATTTTACACATTTTGCACCTTATCAAAATAATCTAGTATTCCAAAAACATGTCAACATCAGCACAAAAAAAACAACTCAATATGGCCTGTGATAAATGGCACAGATAGGTTAAATAACATATTTACAATTTACATAATGTACATGATTTCTTAGTTCTTTTTTTTTCTTGACAGAATCATATTTTTTTACATCATATTACTGCTACTTCCTTTTAGCAATAATATTTTTCAGCCGTTCATATTCTTCAATCACAATTTCATTTGCTAGGATTCTTGAAGGGTCTAAACTTAAAATAAATAAGCCCTGCAAAGTTCTTACTCTACTCAGTGCAACGTATGCCATTCCTTTTTCAAAAACATCAGAACCTAAATGAATTACAGCACTATCAAGAGATAAACCCTGAACTTTGTGAACAGTGCAACCCCAGGATAATACCAGTGGAAATTGCATTCTTACAATTTGTCGACCTCCATAGGAAAATTCATACTGTACACACTCAATGGGAATGGGATTATGCAACAATGTACTATCAGCACAGTTTATTCTACCTACATTTTTGTTATCAAATAATACATGTATTTTTGTTGGTTCAGCTTGTCCATTATTTGTTTCATATGGTATCTCAGTTACTGTTCCCATTGCTCCATTAACTAGTCCAGATTCCGTATTAATGTTTCTAACTAACATAACTCTTGCATTTATTGCAATTCGCAAAATACTGCATAACCCTCCTGCAAGTCTGTCATCCTTAGGAATATATTTTTCATCAACAGAACCCAATGCATTTTCATCAGACTGTGAAAAGTAATGTGAAGCCGATATACTTAAAATATTAGAGCTGATTTTTGATAAAAGATGGATGTTATAAGCTTCAACTTGTTTGCGTAGAGGAAAGATGTGCAAAACATTTTCAAAGTCTATGCTTTCTGTAATTAATCTAGATTTCAGAGTTTGCAAATCTAATTCTGATGGTAAACCTAATCGTACTCTATTCAACAAGTAGAAAAAAGTTGAATTCTCATTCTGTCTCATATTTTCAGTCAAAAAGAATGGTTCAAATAAGTGCCACAATAAAACATTCTCAAATGCAAAATTTCCCTTCACTGGTCTTAGTTGAAAATAATCACCAACAGTAATAACATTATATCCCCCAAAAGGCAGACTGTTGTCACTTATTTCTGATAGACGTCGACTGATGAAAGTTAACATACTACTGCTAACCATACTTATTTCATCTATAATAACTGTATGCACATTTTTAAATTTTTTTCGCAATTGTTTTAAACAATGAGCTGACACACTACTGTATTGCAGAAATTTATTAACAGGAATTTTTAACACTGAGTGAAGTGTTCCTCCATTAATGTTATTTGCAGCAGTACCTGTTGGTGCACAAACTACAACAGGATTAGCATTCAATGTATTTGAACAAAACAGTTGCAAAAAAGCAATAATTACTTTCGTTAAAAAAGATTTTCCAACTCCAGCTCCACCAGAAATAGAGATATGAAATGGAAATACTTTACTTTCAAACTTTAATTTAACATACTGAAGTACTTCTAGTTGAGACTTAGTCATTTTTTTTAACTGAAATGTGGAATTCATCAACTGACATGGAACAAGTAAGGGAATGCAAATGAGTATCATTTTCAAAATGAGTCTGTTCAGTATTTTCAACATCACAACTGATCATTTCTGTAAATGTCTGAAAAATCATTTCTTGGTTAAAATGTGGGTCTTCATTTTCCTCAAAATCTAATGTTGGATTATTCAAATCTTCTTCTAAATTTAATCTTCTCATTGTATTTTCAATTTGATCAGTAAATGAAAAATGTGTAAAGTCAATGGAAGAATTCAGTAAGAATCTTTTGTTTATAAAGGAATCTTTCGCACTGGTGTATGGATATAATAATTCATTTTCCGATCTATGTGGCAGTAACAGTACAAGCAAGCTGTAGTAATAATCTTCTGAAAAATTTGGAAACGTTGGAGTTCTTATGACAAAGGGTTTTTTTAACTTTTTTCATCCAAATATCATATTTACAAATATATATTCTTTCCAAACATTTTCTCTTTGGTTGTCCCAACGACGTTTTTTCATACCAAGAACAAAATCTATATAATGACAAATTGTTCAAATTATTAGGACGATTCTGATAATAGTCGTGAATGTTTGTCTCAAAAACATCGGTGCAATTATCTGGCAATTCGTTAATTTCTTTTCGACTTCTCAAAATTTTAAACCTTTTAAATGGTTGACGGGTGTTTAAGTAAATAAACCTTCTACTGGTATGGATCAAATTTAGATTACTCAACCTATAAGCAGCTTCCTGACTGCTCATCCTCCTATGTCTTAAAACAGTAAGCCCTATTTTTAACAATCTGACATGTCTTGGAATGCTTGGGTTTGCTTCAAAAATGTCATGAATTAGATGACCTAGAGCATTCTTTAATTCGTCAGGTTTAGATTTACATATGTAACTACAAACATAATATGCTGCACCCTCAGCATTACATATCAGTTGTATATCCATATTGGCTCGCCAGTGCCTTAAAATGACAGGATTGTATGAATTTATCATGACATCGTGCTCTCCTCTACGAGTTACGTAAAATTTTCCTTTTGTTTTCTTGGAAAGATTAATATTTGCAAATATTTTTGTCTCACTTGCTTGCTGTTTTGGAAAATCAAATCTACATTTTGATCTGTAAATATTTGAGCAGTATGAGGTATGACTGTGTGATTGAAGCTTTTTGACCAAGTCATGAATTTCGCTATCAACAGACCTATCTGGAATAACAGAAATTACCGTTTCATTGATGTATTCTTTTAGCTGAACAATACTATGACTATCAATTTTGTTTGGAACATTTTCAATCCAGAAGAACATATGAATATGAGGACTTCCACGATTTTGAAATTCTACTCTAGCAAAATAATCAGTAATTTTTCCTAAAGGTTTAATACCTTTCAACAGAACATGTTTCATTAATGCATCAAACCTACGTTCAAAATGGATAGCTGTCATAAGAGGATCTTTTTTGAAACCAAGAAAATTTCTATTGTTTTGTATATCACTGTTATTAAGATCACTCAACAATCTACCCAATTCTTTCCAATGCATATCATCTGCAGAAACACTGCATGAAAAGTCGCGTTTAATATAATTTAATAAATTCGTTTACTCCAGTAAATTTCTTGTATTGAATTTAATTTATGTATAACGGTACATTTTACATGAGATATATTGTGATATAATTAAATACAGTTTTCAAATAAGTAAAATCATATTTAATGCAAAATACGTCGAGAATAATATAGTTTAATTGAGATAATTATACGTTCCGTTTAAGAATATCGACATGTAAAAGTAAATATGCTTATACTTAAAGTTTAAGTACATTTTTGGTATTTTGAATATGTCATAAATAATTCTTTATACCTAATGTAAACTTATGTTGAAACATTTTTGAAAAAAAATATTTAGGCACCCTATTCATTTTAATTTATTTAATTCTCATTTTTATTTATTTACCCTTATGTAGATTTTTCAAAACTGTGGAATATAACTTAGTTTTTTCTCTATCGACTACCACTGTAGTACAATTACATCGGGATCGAAGTCGGGCTCGAAAAGCAATTTATTTAAAAACAACACACCGCGCCGAAATTCAATTTTTTGGAGAGTTCCACGCAGCCATGTTGAACTTGATCATGATGTTGTACGGGAGGAAGGGGCGAAAGAGAGTTACTCGAAAAGGAGAAGCATGATAAACTTTCGATGGAATTTATGTTTTAACAGAAGATGAAGACATTTACGACCCTGTTTAGCGGTAGGAACAATGTACAAAATTTTATCATGTGTCCTTGAATGAATAATTGCCTCTGCTACTGATAATGTTACTGTTCCTTAGTCTGGGCTGTACACATAAAATGCCTGGCAGTAAAAACGTTTGGGCAATTTTGTAATAATTATTTAACACTTTTAACCATCTAACTTAAAGATGGATTTTAACCAGAATTTTCTCGTTTGGGATTGGTTTCAGAATTTTTGTCACTAAAGTGTTTCTCTGTTCAGCATTTACAGAGAGTGTTGTACAATGTAATAAATTATTTATTTCTTAATGCCTACTCAAGAATATATTGAGCACTTATTTTGATTATTTAAATAGCTGCAGTGTGGACTGTGCCTGAGACGATTCCCCATAACGCCGGCTATGTAGACAGCTTGTGAAAATGGTGAGAACCATACCGCTCAAATTTTCTATTATCACAAATAAACAAACAATGTTTTATTAACTTGTATCTTTTAGCATAAGAGTATAAAAAATATTGCAACAACTTGAAATTCTATATACCAAGTAGACAATACGAGGTTTATATTCTAATTTTCCTTATCCTAAAAATACAATAGCAATGGATTCTGAGCTATGCATAATTTTTTAACGTTAAAAACGTAAGCATGAATTATTAAAAATAGCTATCACATTCTACGATGCACAATTATGCATGCATTATTTACAGGAGTCCAAATGCTCACAAGAAATGACAAAAGCAGTGTGAAGATTAACACAACGGTAAGATTTCTTAAATTTTCTGATAAGATCAATAAAATCACCTCAGGGTTCGAAATTAACTTTAGTCCGTTAGTCTCAGACTAATACATTTTCATTCGGACTAATAAAAATTGTAGCTAATTAGTCCGATTGGACTAATAAAGTTTTCTTGGGAGAAAAAAGAATTTACCGATGTTCAAATTTTCGACAACTTTCACTGGAAAACCCCATATTTATTTTTAGCTTTCTAGCTTCTTGGCGGGAAGTTAGGTAATTCTGAGTCAATTCGGCGCTTAATTTTAGGACTCATTGGTATGAAATTAAACATTTTAGTGATCATGATTTAGTATGACACATAAAAAAAGATGTCGGATGTTTAGATGATGTAATCATCTATAAAGAAAAACGAATGAGATCGGGAATACGATCGTAGTTCCTGATTGTGCGATTTCAACGAATTCTTGGTATAAACATTTCATGTAAATGCTTTGTTTATTTCAAAAAAGTATAAAAAGTACATTGCAATGTTATTTCTATTTATTTATACAGTGTATCTATATTTGACGTACTTATAAAATTTTCCGCGGACTAGTAAAAGTAAAGAAGCACTAGTCCGGCCGGACCAATGCCTAAAAATGTTAGTGTCGAACCCTGCACATGAATTGATTTATTTTAGCTCACCTGAGCCATTTTAAGACCCGAGCGAGTTTTCTGTTCTGTGTCTGGTATTCGTCGGTCATCTATAAACTTTTCAAATTTTTACATTCATGAGAATTATTCCTAGTTTGAATAAAAATCCCTGCAAGATACATCTTTTCTTTCAGAAATTGTGCCAGAAAAGTTTGAAGTAGCTATGGGAATGATCAACATTGAACTTGCTGAGGCTCTCTTCCTGAAAGTGACTTGACCAGATATTTGGCTACCCAGTATGAGGTACGAATTAATCATTTGTTGTACAACTTCTTGTGTATGAGATTGCCACCATTTACTGGAAGTTTGCATTTGTTGTCCACTTTAAAAACTTGCTATCTACAGTGTAAGTTGTTAATATATTTTACTTTATGTTAAATCACTTGTTCATTATCCCAATAACTTGCATGTTAAATGCTGTAGATGCTAACCTTTGCATTTAAGTTTACTCTTAAATTCCATGTGTTCCGAGTATGTACACCCATTTCATATCATGTTTTGTCGTCTCTAAATTTAATATAATACATATCATAATATGTACTAGATCACAAAGTTTGAGGATTTTATTATTGTATGAATGTTATCTACTTGCTCTATATCATAAATACATCTGTTTGTATATTTTTTCTACGAGATGCCATACCTGCTTTTAATTTTTCATATTTTTTTTATCCATAGTATCTTTCTGCTACATTAAATAAAATATCGTGGAGGAACACGAAGAAAAGGGTTGCGCACCTCAACATATTCAAGGTCAGGAGGTAAATACATTGGTAAATTGCTAAAAAAAAAAAAAAAAAAAAAAAAGCAAAAAGTCACCAGTCCCCAATTTACATGTACTTCCACAAATTCTGCAGCTTGCTGCTGTGAAACTATATATATATGTGTGTCTTAATATGATAAATGCTGTAAATGCTATTCTTTGCATTTTCCTAAACTCTGTAAATCTTCAAATTCCATGTGCTCGGACTACGGTACCATTATGTATGTTTCATATCATATTTTGTCGTCTATAAATTTGATCTATACATATAATTATATGTTTTCTTTATGCAATTCACTTAACTAGATGACACAGAGAATTTTTTTCATTGTGTAAAATGTTATCTTCTTGCCGTAGTCATGTTAGTCATAAGTATACCCTGTTTGTATATTTTTTCTCCTTTTTTGTATATTCTTTCTATGGAGAGCCACACCTGTTATTAATTTTTCATATTTTGTTTATGACAGCTTTTTACCATATCCATAGTATCTTGCTGCTAAATGAAAGAATTAGTGTGGAGGAGCAGAGAAAAGGGCACCTCAACATGTTCAAGGTCAAGCAGGTAAAATGCTCCCAAAAAAAAAGATGGTGAAAAAAAATCATTAGACCCAAATTTACACGCTTCGAAATCTGTAGCTCGCTGGCCTGAAATTATAGATAATTATCTGTCTTTATTACCCAGATTTGAAAAAATGGCATATCTTTTGTAGTCTTCTGTAAATTTTTAATTAAGCAAAATTGAGCTGTGTTTCCTCTAGGTCAAATGATAATTTTAAAATCAACTCAGATTTTGTTTTTACTATTTAATATATGCAATTGCATAAATCCGGAAGCACACATATAATATGTATATATAGGCAAATGTGTATTTATTGTTATATTTATTGTAGAAATTAGGAGCTAGGTGTGCTTCTCCAGAGCTGAAAACTTCTTGGCATGAAGAGAAGAAGAAGCAAGAAAAAGCAGTTTTAAATATTGATTACGTCTTCATAGTACAAAAAATGATTCTAAAGATAATACTATCTATGAAATTAGAAAGCTGAAGTTGCGTTCTGATGAATGTGAGAATGTCTTCAAAGAACAGGACACCAAAAGTGCCATTCTCAAATCAAAGCACTCTAAAAGGCAGAGCATAAGAAGAACTAGGACAAATAAAGAATCTAAAAGAGTCAAACCTATGGATGTATTAATTGAACAGAGATGGGCTATTAGAGATGAAATATCTGAGTTGCTACTGTTTTGCACAAATTCAATGTTAGATAAGAAAAATATACCTAGTGTTGTATTTTTGACAGTGAAAGTTTTTTCTTATGCTTGATTACAGATTAAAACTGTTATGTATTTTATTGTTTAAACATTTATTGGTCTTCAATCACATACATTTTAATCTTGATTTATATATCACATATATGTACAAGTCTAACTTAAATAATAAGTGCATGGACATTATTGTGGAAAAAATAAGACAATCATGATCAAGGGTGGTCTAAAAGAGCTTTGCTGGCAGTAAGTTGCAGATCTTGATACCCAAGCAAGAGAAAGGTGGTGTCTCTGACCGATCCTTTTGCTGTTGCTTGTGGGCGAGTGAGGCTTCTCTGTTAATTGCTTAGTGTGTCTTATTAAAATGCACATGTAAAAAGAATGGACAACTTTTATTGGCAACTTTTATTCTTTTTATGCAAAGTATGATATAATTTATTGTGGGAAATTGAAAAGCCATTTACAACCCATGCAGAAGTTTTAATAGGGGCAGTTTCAGTAAGATTTTGCAGTCTTTTGGAGTCCAGAATGACTACATTTTTTACCTGTTGTGTTTTGATTTATTGCGGATTTGAATTTTACATACAATACTATTCTTATATTATTTATAATTACTTCAGTATATTACTTACTACTAGTATGTAGAAATTTACTCCATTATAATTGAGCTACAGTCATGATTGTAAATTTTTTAATTCTGACTTTTAGGCTTAAATTTGAAATATTTTGTACTTTGTTAGAACTCATTGTTTGTACACTATTGAGATAACATCTAATAAAATTGAATGAGAAATGGATTTGTGTAAGATTGTAAAATACTTGCCAAAAAACCCACAATTGTAAACCATACAAATTATTGATGGAATAAATGTAAAATAAA